TTCTTCACCACTCACACTTTGTAAACGATCATGTTTTCCGTACATGTCATACACACGTCTGCGCTTGCGACCTTTGATCAACACAGCAGCATGGCGCAGTTGGAAGCGCGGGGCCCATATCCCGAGGTCACTTGATTGAAACAAGTAGCTGCTAGGATAAAAATCGGCATGCTTTTCTTTACTGCTCGGTGGGGCCCTCCTTACTGATCCTTTTTCTCTTCCAAGCAAAGGGACCACATGCCACGTCCTGCTAAGATGCAGCTGCAGACGACTTGACAACAGCTTGTCCCCTCCCCTCGTTCGCTCTCAACTACTCAACCAACACATAACTCAACTTCCATCAAGCACAACACCAAGCAGCATGGCGCAGTCGGAAGCGCGCGGGGCCCATATCGAGGGATACGTAGAAATCCGGATATTGAATATTGAACCCCGAGGTCACTTGATCGAAACAGTTGCTGCTATGGTCTACTACGTTGCCTTTTTGTGGTTCTCTCGCAATGTCTAATACACCAACGCCAGCTTGAACTTGAAGCGTGTGCCATTGGACCTGCGGTTCACGGACATATCTCGTAGCTGAAGTAATGAACACTGAGTTGCTGCTATACCGATTCTCTCGTCCTTTTTCCTTTCTCTCTCTCTACTCGGTGGATGATCTCTCCCTCGTCGAATCCGAGGGATCGAACGCTACGTCTTGTCAATATGCAACTGCACACGACGACGCGATAGCTTCCTGTACATCTGAAACAATACACTACTAGTGGCGAAGCCAATACTTTTCCCTCAAGAAATAGCGAAGAAGAAATACCCTCCGACAGACCAGATGCCCATGCGATTTACATATGCAGACTACCTCGAGGACACACGTTCATTTCAAGTTATCCGTGCTACATATTTCCACGACACATTCAAGACCCTTCTCTCATTCTCGTTCTTGTTTTCTAGAGCCTCGATACTGCTGGTTCCATGTCTCGTATGTTCTTGGTTGTTCTTGATGAAGCATGCGAGTGGCTCGATCAAAGATCATAAAGTGCGCCTCCCACCACAGCGAATAACTAAGGGATCTCCGTGGAAACTTCCGAAGATTCAATGACAACCCTTGCTCTCTACTCGTCATCAGCTCCTCTCCCAAAAGTTCCAGCTCCTTCAGTCGCCCTCCCTCGTTATCAATGCATCGTTGCTGCAGTTTCGACATTATCGACTGAAACTGTTGCGCTCGTTCATCTCGTTCCTCGCTCGCTCGGACGTTTTTTTCCACTTCACTTTTAAAGAAATCGACCTCTCGTTTTCGTTCATTGGCCTGAATTTCGGATTCACGTTGCTGCTGAGCCTTTTTAAATTCAAATTCGCGCGAATCCTCAGCCTCGTCAAATAGTTCCTTGCGTTTCTGCTGGACCTTCACAAATTCGGCCTCACGTTTTGCCTCGTTGATTGTGAAAGTGTAATTCCGTTCTTTTGCGCCTTTTCGAAAAGCTTCGGCTCTCAATTCCTGCGAACACTCAAACATCTCCTGCATTCTCTCCAAGTCAAAATATGTAACCGCAGCGTGAGGTCACGGTGAGGTCACACGAGGTAGCTAGAGTCTTCGCACAAGAGAGAACGGGTGTAAGCTCTGCAATTGGGAAGAACTAAGTAACGAGTACATATCATGGCCTTTATATACTCGTAGTAGAATAATATATCAATTGAGTCCTCAGCGGGCAGGTACTCGCAATCGATGGTAAACAAACTGAAGTCCGAAAAGAGTGTGATCTGGTCACGGTTGCTACATACGCCCTCCAGGTATCGTGAACAAAGGGAATGATGCCTTGTAATGACTGTGGGTATGAGAACGGTGAAGAGTCGAAAATAAAACAAATGGTATCCTCCCAGGTTTGAACTCCCGAGGTCTTGGTCAGAAAGGATCGAGAATAATTGCGATGACGTAGGGTTTAGCGCGCAGTGCGATTTAAGCGGTAAGTCGAGAAAGGTCAGGAAGAGTGTCGAATAGAATTAGTGGATTAAGCAGTGGGTTCCTCATCGCGCATCTGCTCGTCGTCGTCTTCGCCCTTGGCGTCGGGGTCGGGGGAAGAGCAAGTTTCCTTGCCTTTGCGGGAACGACGTGCCTTGCGGGCCGGATGGGAGTCGGTAGAAGAGGAGCTCCCAATGGTGAATCCCTGAGGGTGCGCTTCCTTGTAGCGCCTCCTCTTGATGGCCTTCTCTTCTTCGCGGCGAGTGTCGGCGCGCGCCTGGTTGCGCACGGCCTCGCGATGGGGACGGAGCAACGCGTCCTTGGTCATTTCCCAATGGTTGGTGTCGACGTCGCTGTTAGACTTGAGAAGCCCAAATATGCGGAAGTCATTGTAGCGACTGTTGCAGTGAGGGAAGGTCAGGATACTGGGGGGAATGGGGAAATTGTCGACGTTGTAGGAGGAGGTGGCGTCGCTCCAAGTGGTGAACTTGCACGGGTTGTCACCCTTGGAAGCGTTATACGCGGCTGCAAATTCAGCATAACCGGCCGGCACGTAAGTGTTAACAGTGACGTTGCGACGGCGAACATCGTTATTGTATCTAATTGTAACGGACCACCGTCATAGATCATGTCTCTACGACTTAATAAAAGTAATATAATTAATTATTGTTTAGTTTTACTGGCTGCCTTAGGTAAGGTAGCCAATCTTACACTCATACCACGTAGTACTAGAATCGTATATCAATCTGGTTCTCTCGTGTGATTGTAAGGCTATTTGACAACGTTTCACTTTTTTGAACCTTTCGGGTTCAATTCTATTACTACGAGAACATTGCGTCTAGACCCGCGGTCTAGACACTGATCCAATC